AAAAGGAATAAGCTAGGGCCTAAATTAAAGTACCTTAATACACAGAAAAGCGTACACTCAAGAATGCAACACTAACAACAAAAGGGAGATAAAACAACTCACGATTTGTTAAATAAAATTTGAAAAATACTTAGCTTTATTGTAGCGTTGGGAGGGATCGGACTGGGGACACAGGGATGCCAAGAGAACAGCCAGACAGGGAAAACCGCCAGTAGAAAAACCACTTTAAGTGGCTCCACACAGATTATCCACGCACTCTCTGTTCTCGCCGCATTCCCCTTCGTCCCCTTTATATACAAACATGGCCACATTCGTCCAATGAGAAGGCGTGGAGATTTGTTCACTAACAACCGAAAACAACATTCTTACCACTAGAAAACTGAACAGAAAAAAATGCAAATGTTTGTCAGAATAAATTTGACATTATTACTGTATTTATCCCAATACTAAAAAAAAAAGACCATCAGGCAAAAACCATGGGTGATGGGGAAATTTCTGATTAGAATTATGAGTTCAGCATGAAAAGTTACACTAGAAACACCATCAGGTTCTCTTGTGCAAAAAAAAAGTTTTTTTTGTAGACCTGTGTTATAATAGTAATCAAGCCTCTCTATAGGAAAAAGATTTTTAAAAATAGAAACATTGTCATCAAATATTTACCTCTAAATTAGTTCATTCATTAATTTCATTCTTAATTTATGCACCTTATCCCAGTACAATGTTACATTTCTACTATTTTTTACATTGTGTAGCGTCCTCACGCAATTCTGGCCTTAACTACCCGTTTCATGATTTTTCAGGATGCCTTAATGACCAATTTTTTGGTCGTTGAGGTACAGCTTGCACCACGCTGATGAGGGCCAACAGCCCGAAACGCGCCCGTGGTTAGCTTTTCTTGATTAATCAAGAATGGGTATTTGACCCATTCTGGATAATTAAAAATCAACGAGAATAGTTGATATTTATTCCGATAGATGGCGCCAGGCCATCAGCAACTTTCAGTTGCACGATAAGGAGATGCCTTTTTCTTAATATATATATATATATATATATAAATGAATGTATGTGTGTGTGTCTGTTTGTTTGTTTGTCCTTTATGCCTGACCAAACCACTCATTGGATCGCCATGAAACTTTGGGAAGTTATTTAGTATAGTACTGGGAAGGTTTCTAGCAAATAAAATTTTTGAAATGACTTTTCGCCTAGAAATAATCAAGATAAATATTCTAATTTATCTGTTATAATTCAACAATCTGCTCTAAATATTATCATGATGATACGATGATTTTGTAATGTAGAAAATTAGGAAAGACAAAATTCAGGATGACACGGCAATTTTTTTTGAGACAAGAATAATGATACAATTCAAAGGCAAGATACTATTCCTTTAACTACCAATTACCGAGGGAACCAATTAATATTGATTTTATTCAACTTATCGAGTATTTTTCAAGGGGCCGGGAAAAAATGTTCACTTTATCGAGAGATTCGTTAAACAAACCTTTACTCGGGTAAAACCCCGGGCGAAGCCGGGTACATCCATACAAGAATAATGATACAATTCCAAGGCAAGATACTATTCCTTTAACTTCCAATTACCGAGGGAACCAATTAATATTGATTTATTCAACTTATCGAGTATTTTTCAAGGGACCGGGAAAAAATGTTCACTTTATCGAGAGATTCGTTAAACAAACCTTTACTCGGGTAAAACCCGGGCGAACCCGGGTACATCCATACAAGAATAAATGATACAATTCCAAGGCAAGATACTATTCTTTTAACTTCCAATTACCGAGGGAACCATTATTAATATTGATTTTATTCAACTTATCGAGTATTTTTCAAGGGACCGGGAAAAAAATGTTCACTTAATCGAGAGATTCGTTAGACAAACTTTTAACTCGGGTAAAACCCGGGCGAAGCCGGGTACGTCCGCTAGTATATTATATATATATTTTTTTTTATTTATTATTATTATTTTTTTTTCTCTTTTTTTCCTTGTTAATATCTTGTGAATATTCTTTACGGCCTAAAATATAATAAATATGCATAGACAACTGTAGAAAACATACAATTATGTCAGTGCAAGTGTCCATAGGAAGACATAGCGCTTAAACTGATATAAAATAATCAAATAATTCAATATAAAATTCATTATTCACAACTAAAGTATAATTATATTCGAAAATATGTTGAAACAATTACAAAAATAATTAAATAAAACTTGAAATCCAAATATAATTCTTAAATAAATATATAAATAATTTAGATTAAGATATTTCTAAAATAGTTCTTACAAACAATGCACACACACAATAGTTAAAAATCAATATATATATTTATACATAATTATCTACCTATTCTCGTAGGAAATAGAATAGACACACAATAACCTATAGTAAACAATTGGAACTTTAGAATGCATGGTATTACATTAAAGGTAAAACACATAGCAAACTTTACTAGCGTCTTACCTTAGCAAACTCATTCCCTTGGCAATAAAACAAGGATACAGTAGAGGACAACTGCGTGATCTAAAGTGAATAATTAAAGTGATAATGTCGTTTGATAATTAATCCTCTCCACTTCAAATTCAATTTCGGGCGAGTGTTTGGAAGATCTTCTGAAAGAATTAATTAGGATCCAAATTACTGTCTTAATCTTTTAGAAGTTGGAAACTTGGCATACCTCAAGATTAATTCGTTCTGCTTGCTTTCTATTGGAACCAACTGAGAATCTTCAAGGAAGTGTGAATGTTTTATTTCGCTCAATTATTTCCAGGTAAGTTCGATTATTGTTTAGGCTTATGTTATACATAGTGGTATTTATTTTATCATGAATTTGAAACATTAATTAAAGTTATAATCATTGCGTTTTATATGTAGTTTCTCTCGATTGCGTAAATAATTACAATAAGATCTTTCATTGTTAATTCATCTGATTAAGGATCATCTCATATAAGCTATCCTACCATCATTAAGTACGTCATCATAAC